TTATTCTAATACACACACACACATATATATACACGCATACACACACAAGATCAAGAATATATTAGACAACAATAACTAGAGGGCAGACTCAAACAAGTTTTTGTCAAACAAGACAAAAGACAAAGATTGACAGTGATAAGGTGACAAATTGGGTAAAAGACCCATTCTTTAGGATTAAGCCTGGTAGCTGTATATGCATAAGTTATTTCCTTGAAACATGAATGTATTATCATAACTTCAACTAAAATGTTATGCTTTTATATGAAAAAGGGAATGCTATCTGCTCATGATGTTCTGGCATTGAGAGAGTTAGAAATGTAACATGAAGTTAATTTATTACTTCTATGCATTCCCTGAAGGACAATGTTTTCAGGCAATGTTTTGCATTTCTTGTGAAAGTTTTACTGAAAGCACATTAATATGTACAGAATAGTGAAAGCAGCATTGTCCATCTGCATTCTATACACTGTTATACACGAATAGGAGACATGAAGTGCCTGAGTTTGCAAGACCTGTGAGCATAATAGTGCACCAACAACATTGACAAAATAATAAAGTGGCAAGGAGTGACAAAAAAAACATCTCAGCAAAATAAAGAAATAAGGTTACAGATTGGAGTGACAGCTCTTAAATCACAACAGAAATAGTAAAATAGGGACAAAGGAGAGACAAACAAGATCAGAAAAGCTCAAAATGGATGTATCTAAAGGACATATAATACAGTGCTACCCACTTTTCAGTGGGTATAATAGTGTATGTAATACTGTGCTACCCCAACTTGAGTTCAAAACACTGATTGTCCAGCGCTTTGGGAAGTCCTCCCAAAGTGAAGGGCACTATACATATGTCATTTTGGTGTTGTTTTCTCAAACCCATTTATACCAACATCCCGGTTACATCGACAAAAATTTGAAGTCCAGGGACCTTTTCCTCATAGGAACATGTTAAACTTACCATGTATGTTGACGTCGACATAAATTTCAGAATGTTTATATCGACAATGTTTTCAGCTCCCTAACATCATTATACACTTTGTGTTTTTACCACTTATGCAGACATGCAGACATGCAGTGCAGTTCTGTAGCTTAGTGGTTAGAGCACTTGCCTCGCAAGGGAGAAACCCGAGCTTGATTCCTGGCGGGGCAAAACATTGGGCAAGTTTCCTTACTGCACCCACCTCTGTTTACCTAGCAGTAAGTAGGAACCCGATTGTTAGTCAGTTGGTGGATTCCTTTTCTGGGGGTAATAATTCCACCCAAAAAAAAAAATGGGTCACTCAATCCACTAGTGTTTGTGGGAAACTGCTGTGCACAATTGGCTGCTGCGTTTTACCCACAAAATATACAGTCAATGTACTTTACAGTATATTCTGTGAAGCGCTTTGGGACGTGTCGAAGGTATGATAAGGCATTATATCAAATGCAAGGATTAGTATTATTGATTATTAACCCTTGCCTCCCTGCGCTGCACCTAGCACTCCGAAGAGCACTTGTACATTCAGTGATCAGAACAAAGCATTGAAACTCTCAACTTGAACTTTGGGGCACATGGCACATGCAGAGTACCCCTGGACGCACTCAGTGAGTACAACACCTGGCTACAATTCCTGGGGCACACCTCGGCTGCCAGTAATTGACATAACCTGTTTGGTTTGTTTGTCTAAACCCCTTTATGATAACAAAATCTGTTTGGTTCCCCAAGTTGTTGATGTAAACGGATAGGACTGTACTAAATCATTTTTGCTTTGATATAGCACTATAACACATTGTCAAAATGCTTCAAAGTTCTTCACAGGATTTACTGTTGAAGGCACTGGTTGCATATTTGTTGACGAACATGGCAAATAATTTGCGCACAATATAGTCCGCAAACAGCCATGAAGTGAATGTTCAGTTTTATCTGAGGTATTGTTGGCCATGACAACTACTTTTGCGTAGTGCCATGGAACATAACGTCTACCTCATTTTAAAGTCTAATGACACTTCTAACAATTCATTGTTCCCCAGCGTTGCAGTGGAGTGTTAGGCAAAACTATGAGCTCAAAGTTGCTATGGGACTTGAACTCACATGTGAAAAAAAAAAATGACAGGAAGGATATTAACAAACATTAATATTTGATTTAAATGAATTATTTTTGATATTTCATCTAAGTAATTATAGTATATAATCCTTGCATTTGATATGGTGCCTTATCACATCATTGAGATGTCTCAAAGTGCTTCACAGAATATACTGTTATGCGAATTGATTGTATATTCTTGTGGACGAAACAAGGCAGCCAATTGTGCATAGAATTTTAGGCCATCGGTGCTCTAGTTTATACAATTTATAACTGAATAGCTCTATTTGATGTCATTGAATTGTAAATATTAGCTTTCCCTGTGCATACATCTAGCAAAAAAAATATTCTGGGTTTTCATTGTGTTTAATCCTCCTATTCTAGTGTGTTTTAATTCAAAAAATAAGCACATACTAGACACAATGAAATTGTGTCTAACTAGTACTTATCCAAGGAAAAATAAATTGTTATTGCTTTTATATTACAACACTGGCATCACTTAGAGTGATACTCAGGTGATATCACTGACATTGGAAAGTTGCTCTTTCTGCAACTAGAACTTTGCATTTAAAAATCCCAGCATTTCCAGAATGCTGCTCATTGATTGTATAACATAATATGATTAATTTCCCTCATTACAACAACAACCCTCTCCCCCTCCCACCCTCACTTGATAGCAAAATTGAAAAGGTTATATATATACACACACACAGAACATGTGTATTGATAATACGTGTAATGATCATTCAAATTTGATTTGAACAAAGTTCTTCATTGCTTTTGCATGGTCGGTCAATTAGTAGAGCATTTGGGAAAGGCCTCAAACATGCTTAGAGTTCACACATCCACTAGCCCCGATAGTTTAAACATAAAACAGAAAGCCAGAAAACAACTCAAAATTGAGAATGGATGTCCGATCTTATATCCTGATTATTTGGGATTATTTTATTTACTACAGGTATATTTGTTACCTTTTGAAAATATCTGGCTTGTACAAATGTATAACAATGTTGCACACTTGATGAAATATTGGATTGGATCATTGATCCAATTTTGAAAATTGGGCATATGATTTGAAAGCCAGTACATGCAAAACATGAAAAGCTACAACTATGATAAATTATACTTCATAGAAAAACAATTCATGTTAGTTCATTACCTCCAGGCTCCTAGATCATTTCTTGTTTTACTCATGGAGATGCAGTTGGTGCCCTCAGTAAATTTATAATAGTCTTTTCATTGCTTCCTCAAGCAAGCTTTGTCTGGTCTTCATCATGCTGGGTGGTTTGGAAGTTGAAGCAGCATAATATTGCCTTCATTTGTGGTCATCCCATCAGCAATCAATTCAACTGGCATTAACCCAAGCATTTATAATGTCAATTGTATTTTTTTGCAAATCGGGAATGACTGACCATGCCTTTCTACTTTTTTTTCCAATTGATAAATATAGAGTCAATTGGCAGCTTGCCAGTTACAAAACCATCTTGGAAAAAATGCTGTACACAAAACATTGCTATAAAAGCAATACCACCACAAAACAACTCATAGTTCAGCAGAAACCTGGGGATCTGTGATAACAATGCAAGCTTCAGGGAAATCTTATGAGCCTGCATAACAATTTCAGATGGATCATGAACCTGCACATGTTAAAAACAAGACCAGGGCATCCTTAGCAAAGGAAGACTGCTGGAAAGCTTTTGTAGAAACCTGAGCCAAAGGTATCTGTGTCAATGGTTCAGCAGCTCAAAGCGTAATTATAGCTTCCATGGCAGGCAACTTAGAGAGAGAATCACCTCAAGGTGAGCATCCCATTTCAGCAACTATAAGACTGTGTGAGGCCGAGCTAACGATAAAGGCTTGTGGAGGAATCTAATATTGCATATAATGAGTGAGACCTGAGGGTGATTATTGTCTGCTTGCAATTGGGTTCTGACAAAAACTGGAAACAACTATCTTCTTTCAGGCTAAAACCTTTTTGATTTGTGTTTTATGATTGCTCGGCTTTTCACAGTCAGATTTTTATCTCATGATCGGATACAAAATCATCACATATTTCATACAATTTACAGTGTGGTTAGTAGTTAGCAAAATAAACCAAGTCCAATTGAGCATTTTTTTAACTCTTGTTATTTAATTACTGCATCTTTTCCTACCTTTTTCAGCTTTTAGGCAAAAGGTTATACTGCAGGTTGGCTGCTTCAGTCTCACGAACCCTCAGAGGGGAAAAACCTAGTTCCAAAGGCATCCTCAGCCTTCTCTCAATCGGCCCAAAGTATTGATTGTAAATTTCCAGTTCTGGTTCATATTTTTCTTAAGTTAATGCCTAAGATTGCTAGCATCAACTATTAGTTATTGCTTTAATTGATATCCTGTTCCAAGCCACTTCATACATTTTTAGCAATTGTTCAAGAACTGGAAGCCAATCTTGCCCATTATCAAAATAATGGGCAAGATGTATGAAGTGGCTTGGCAAATAATATTTACCCATGTTATCCTTGGAATCGAACATGACTCAATCAAAATGATATTGCACATGTATTGCATAAATTATATAAATAAATAAATATATAAATAATTATATAAAATTATATAAATAAATTATATAAATATAAATAAAAATATTGCACAAAGTACACAAACAGTCCCCTGCCAATCATTCCACTCTGTTAGCTCACGGGCAGGTCTTATATTTTATAACACCAAGTTAAATAAATCAAATAACAGTTTGGTTATTCAATCTACGACTGTTTGTGGGACACTGCTGTGCGCAATTGGCTGCTGCGTTTCACCTACAAAATATACAATCAATTCACTTTACAATATATCTGAGAAGAGCTTTGAGGTGTCTAGAAGATGTGAAAAGTGCTAATATCAAACGTAAGGATCATTATTATTATTTATTATGAGTTTGTTACTTGGAATCCTGTAGCTCAGGATGTGGAGTCCTGTAGCTCAGTGGTTAGAGCACTCGCTTTGTAAGCAAGGGAACTGGGTTCAATTCCCAGCAGGGTGAAACCTTGGGCAAGTTTCCTTACTCCACACGCCTGATAATAATCCCCCCCAAAAAAACAATAATAAATTGGTAATTTCAATCCACGACTGTTTGTGGAACACTGCTGTGTGCAATTGGCTACCACATTTCACCCACAAATACACAATCAATTCACTTTACAGTATATGCTGTGAAGCACTTTGAGACATCTAGAAAACGTGAAAAGCACTATATCAAATGCAAGAATTATTATTATTATTATTACTTGTGTTTTACATACCCCACTATATTAGAATTTCAGTGTACATCTATGCTTTGCTCCCAATAATTTCACTGTTGCTCAAATAATGTTCAGGCACTTGCAGTTTTGATCTTTTATTCTTTAATATTGCAATATCAACACAGCTATTTACTGATGGTCTGTGCTCAGTGATTTCCTTCAAGCTCATTGAGCCATCAATGGACAGGTGTCTTCCATGATGTTGTGCTGTTGTAGCCAACTGATTAAATAGGATTAAGCCTCTAATCATCCTAGGGTCAGTTCTATATCTTGACCATTCTATAAACAGCTATAAAAGCTAGCTGATTTTGCACAGAAAGCTAGTCTGAGGAGGTCAGGTTTATGAATCAATGCTTTAAGAAACTACTCAGAACTAACTATTGTACAGTTTTGTAGCAAAACAAAACTCAGTGAAACTGTCTTGTTTATGAAGGTGACATATTTGAAATTACACTGATTTACCTACTTAACAACATGATACACATGAACAACAATGAAAGAATATAGATTACGAATAGAGGCTATCAGCCAAGAACCTAATTAAATTCTTACTCAGATTTTCTAATATAATGTCCATAGCATTATCTAGCAACTTATTTGGCTAAAGTATTTAATTTTACTACTGTGTATTTTTCTGCTGTATCAGTTCCACTAATTGGCAAGTTTCTGACCCATGGAAGATTAATTTTCTCTTTTAAATTGTATTCCTGCACTAACAATTAATTATGAATAGAATAATTAGTTCTATATCTTCTCAGTCAGCTAAATATTCAATATAAATGACTACCCTCAAACTCAGTAACTGTCAACCTTAAATTTGTATAGTGGTGTCAAGCAAATGGAACCAATATATTACAAAGATTTGGTTTCATATAGATCATAAATTGGCCTTGCAGTGTCAGTTTGGGAAATCTGAAGAATCACTGTCATGAATAAAGAACTCGATCCTCTATCTCTAAAGAATTTTGCATGTTTCAGCCATTCATGGAGCAATGAAAATTATATTAATTTGCTTTATCCAGAGCATTCCCAACCTCTCAAAGTGTAAGACAAAGAAGAAATTGTACACTGACAAAGACATACAAGTTTAATATAGTAGTAATCTTAGATAAATATAGCATTGATGTACTACTTGTGTGTAATTAAAGACTTTCTGCTGTTCCTTATATAAAAGGGGAGTTAATTATGACTGCTAGTATACTGGTATCCATACATTAGCATAACATAAGAACATAATAATAATAATAATAATCCTAGACGTCTCAAAGCGCTTCACAGAATATGCTGTAAAGTGAATTTACTGTATATTTGTGGGCGAACGCGGCAGCCAATTGTGCACAGCAATGTCCCACAAACAGTCGTAGATTGAAAATGACCAATTTATTATTGTTTTAGGTTTTGGAGGGATTATTATTAGGCGTGTGGAGTAAGGAAACTTGCCCAAGGTTTCGCCCTCTGCCTGGAATTGAACTCAGGTCTCTCGCTTGCAAAGCGAGTGCTCTAACCACTGAGCTACAGGACTCCATAAGAAATGCTAGACGAAAAAAGACCAAGGTCCATCTAGTTCGCCTTCCACCTTCCTGGCGGTCGCATGCAGATATGTCCCAAACTACCTACGTACTATGTCCCATAATATTATTTCCCAAAAGAAAACTATCTAATCTGTGTTTGAAAGAATCAACGTTTCCTGCTTCAACCATCTCCCTGGAGAGCCTGTTCCACAGGTTCACTATTCACTCACTGAAATAGTGCTTGCATAGATTTGTTCTGAAAGTACCCCTCTTCAATCGCAGACCATATCCTCTGGTTATGCTATCCTGGACAAGTTGAAACAGCTTGTCATGATCTATACTGTCTTGCACCTTTAGAATGTTAAAGACAGCAATCATGTTGCCTCTCAAATCTTTTCTTTTCCAGCGTGAACATGCCCAATTTACTTAGTCGCTCCTCATAGTCCAGTCCTTCCATTCCCTCAATCGTTTTGGCTGCCCTCCTCTGTATCTTCTCGATTTCTCCAATATCCTCTTTGTACTGCGTTGACCAGAACTGTATACAGTATTCTAATTATGGTCTCACCGATCATTTATACAATGGCAGGATTACCCTTCTATTGCAGCTTGCTATTGATCTTTTGATACATCCCAAAGTCTGGTTTGCTTTACTCACTGACACAGAGCATTGTTGGGAGAGCTTCAATTTATTGTGAATCAGAATCCCCAGGTCCTTTTCATTTTCCATACATATTATTTTCCTTCCATTCAAATGATAGTCCCTTCCAGGATGTTTTGTTCCCATGTGAGGTACTTTACATTTCTCCACAATGAATTTCATCTGCCACTGATCTGCCCAATTCCCAAGTAAGTTCAAATCCTCCTGTAACCTATCTTGTTCAGCTTTGTGATCTACCACCTTCATTAGCTTGGTGTCATCTACAAACTTAGCCACTGTACTTGCGACTCCTAGTTCCAGAACATTTATAAAAATATTATTAAAAGAGGTCCCAAAACAGACCATTGTGGAACTCCACTGGTAACATTTTTCCAGTCTAATGACATTCCCTGTACCACCACCCTCTGGGTTCTTCCAGTCAACCAATTGCATATCCATTGTAATATATCTCCACTGATACACGCTTTTTTNACTTTCAGTACCAGCCTCTCAAGAGGAACTGTATCAAAGGACTTACATTGGTTATCCCATGGTGCCTCATAATACCTGATACTTGCTTGTTTATTATGCTACTGACATTTATACTGGCTTCTGCCAGGATGAGCTATTCTACATGCACAGATTTCTTTGTGTATGGACAGTCAATCAAATGTTCCCCAAGTCTATTCCTTCCTTCCTTCCTTCCTTCCTTCCTTCCTTCCTTCCTTCCTTCCTTCCTTCCTTCCTTCCTTCCTTCCTTCCTTCCTTCCCTCCCTCCCTCCATTCATTCATTTATTGATTTATCCTGTGCCTGCATCGAAAAAGTATCAGTGGAAAAACTGGAAGGAAAATACTCACCTCCTACTGGCAGGGTTTTAGGAATTGGTAATGTTTGCCTTCCATCACCTCCGGAACATCGCCAGACTACGGCATTACCTCACCCCTCACGCTGCTGAAACTCTGGTTCACGCCTTTGTCACCTCAAGGCTGGACTATGGGAACTCTCTCCTCGCCGGCCTTCCCGCCACCTCCCTCCACAAGCTGCAGGTCATTCAGAACTCTGCAGCTCGTGTACTGTCCCGCACCAGGCTTCGGGACCACATTACTCCCACCCTCGCTCACCTCCACTGGCTCCCCATCCCCCAGAGGATTGATTTCAAGATCCTCATCCTCACCTACAAGGCCATTCACGGCCTTGCTCCCTCCTACCTCTCCAACCTACTATCCCCTACCTACCTGCCCGTACCCTCCGTTCCTCTGGCTCCGGTCTGCTCCACGTCCCCCGCCCCAACCGCCCTACCATCGGTGGTCGGGCCTTCAGCCTCTCAGCCCCTAGGCTCTGGAACTCCATCCCCCAGTGCCTTCGCCTTGCTTCCTCCCTTTCCTCCTTCAAGGCCGGTCTCAAGACCTTTCTCTTCGACCGTGCCTTCAGCTCCCCTCTCGACTCTCTTCCCCCTCCTCGCTCCCTCCCTTCCCTCCCCTCACCCTGACCATTTATCCGCTCCTCGCTCCCTCCCTTCCCTCCCCTCACCCTGACCATTTCCCCCCTCCTCGCTCCCTCCCTTCCCTCCCCTCACCCTGACCATTTCCCCCCTGCTCGGGTCATGACCCAACTGTGCAGCGCCTTGGGACGTCCTCCTGACGTGAAAGGCGCTTTATAAATGGAATCTTGTTGTTGTTGTTGTTTGGTGAATTTGAATGTTTAGATAAAGCTAATGATTGTTGTCATTGAATTTAAAAACAGAATATTGGAAATGCTTTGAAACATTTGTCCCAGAGACAGTGAAACGAATCAACTAGAAGGATTTGTGAGGCTAAAATAAATCATCAATTCTGAATTTATTGTGACACACTTTATCCACACGAGCCTTAGGAGATGTAAACAAAATGCAAAATACTGCAGATGCTGGAAATCTGAAACAAAAACGGAAGTCTCTGGGAACACTCAGCAAGTCAGGCAGTATCTATGGAGAAAGCAAAGCGAGTCAACATTTCGGGTCCATGACTCTCCGTCAGAACTGAACTGATGAAGGGTTGTAGACCCGAAATGTTGACTCACTTTCCTTTCTCTATAGATACTGCCTGACCTGCTGAGTGTTCCCAGTGACTTCTGTTTTTGTCTCAGGAGATGTAAGTTGGCCACTCTCAATATAAGCCATTTATTATTGCAAATGTATATTAAGATATGAGCAAATATGAGCAAATAAAAGGCAGATCAGCATAGACAGGATGAGAGTCCTTCCAGTTTTCTGTTAAGATCTTTGCCCACTTTCGCCAAATTATAAAGTCAACGTTCATATCTTATTTCTAGATAAAAAATAAAGGAGGTCAGGAGTAACTTGAGCAACATGACAATGGAGTCTAACAAATTATATTCAAATAGGGAATTATAAATAATGACTCCTGTTGCTATCCAAATGTGTGTCATATCAAGTCATGAAAGCTCAGTTCTTCTGATATAATGCATTGTTGGAATCAAACATAGTGGTACGTATAATTAGTCCTTAAACTATCAGCAGGTCCATTACACAACAATATTCCTTTGCTCACAGTATCTCAACTGTTCGGATGACACATGGTGAGCCATACTAAA